TGGATCCCTTCTCTTCCTAACAATCCTTGTGCTTGGAACTACATCCCATGTCAAAGATCCAAAGCCCTCTCTCTGACACCACCTGCGTAGATTATATAAAGGCTGGAAACCCACCATCTTCAAGTCTCAGAAGACATTCAACAAGCTTCTCTCTGTATTTTTCAGGAGATAGCCAGAGTGGCCCTGGACAGTTCATCTGGGGAAGGAATAAATTAGGGTATGTCTACACTACAAAGATAATTCGAACATACGAGTTTCCCTGGTGTTGGCCAGAGTGGCCACCAGGGAAACCTGGGGAGGGCTAGCCTCCCACTAGTTAGAATTAAGGGTCTACACAGCCCTTAATTCGAACTAGTAAGTTCGAACTAGGCTTAATCCTCATGGAATGAGGATTACCTAGTTCGAACTAAGCGCTCCGTTAGTTCGAATTAAATTTGAACTAACGGAGCGCTAGTGTAGCACCTATGAAAGTTAGTTCGAACTAACGTCCGTTAGTTTGAACTAACTTTGTAGTGTAGACATACCCCAAGTGACTAAAGACAAAAAATCATATTGTTTTTTCTAAAGGATAATACCAATACTTTTGTAAAAAGAAACATACAGACTTCTCATATATAAGTGAGAACTTTATATTAACAATCAGTCTCCTATTATAATATGCAATTTGGTGATTCAAGAACACTGAATTTTAAAATCACAAACACACATTATTAGTTATGAATAAGGGGAAATGTGATATCAGTTACTTTAATACAGTGCTTCTCAAACTGTCCCATGGGCCTGTTTGGGGAAAGCTGCTAGTGGTTCTGCACCAGTTTGTTTACATAAAGACGCCCTAGTCACGGGGCCTTGTGGCTGCCATTAGTTCTGGTTCACCATTTCCACTTGGAAGTGGTGGTCTGGGCCACACAGCTTTCTGCAGATCCCTTGGACTGAAAACAGCAAATCAGTGTGAATGGGAGCCCTGAGGCTCTGTGGCTACAGAGCCTTTAGGTAAACAAACTGTTGAGGGCCTGCTGGTGACTTTCCTGAAGTGGGCCAGGAGAACAGTGAGAGAATGAGTGCTTTAATACATAATGACTGCCCTGCATCTTTAAACAGAGAAGGAGGTGGAGTATTTGGCTGGCTGGTCAAGTGAATGGGGATTTGCAGGGAGGGGTGGAAACTAGTGCGAAAAGGGGCAGCATGGTCACTAACTCATCACCTGGAAATGCAGTGTTTTAAAGGGTTGAGCCTTGAGCCTTCTTTTTTACACAGGCCAAGGCTTAAAAATTTGCCATTAGGACATGGCTAGGAACCAGGCTGGCTGTGGGGAGGAGGCAGACAAGCTAATTACTGGTGCCTCCTGGTGACAGATGTACAGTGCAGGTACTTCACAGAAAAGGTACACAGTGACCAGATAAATGGCTTGGAAACGGATTTTAAAAGAGGTGTTCATTAAAAGAACAAACAGAGGACAACTGGAGATTACTAAGATTGGCATGGCAGGGAGCCACTCCTAACCCCATTCGTATAGCCCAACTTAACCCTCCTACAAGAGGGATCACTTGATGATTCCCTGTTCTATTCACTCCCTCTGGGGCATCTGACATTAGCCACTGTTGGAAGACAGGATACTGGGCTAGATGGACCTTTGGTGTCACCCAGTATGGCCGTTCCTATGTTCTTACAAGTGTGGGGTGGATGGTAAGGCCCTAGCAAAGAATTTGCTGGAGCAACCTAGATGGCAAAATGAGGGGGAGTTGGTAAAAACTTCCCTGGGTAATTATAAAATAAACATGGAGTTACCTGCATGTAGGGTTGCCAGGTAGACCCCGCCAAAAAACCGGACACACTTGATCATGGGGGGGGGGGTGGAGAACCAGC